TGCCGGCTTCTTCACCGTCTTTGCGAGCGAGCTGTCCGTGTACACGCTGACGGTGATCACCATCGAGAGGTGGCACACAATCACCTACGCCATGCAGCTGGACCGCAAGCTGCGGCTGCGGCACGCCGTGCCGATCATGCTCGGTGGCTGGGTATTTTCCATCCTGATCGCGGTGCTGCCGCTGCTGGGGGTCAGCAGCTACATGAAGGTCAGCATTTGTTTGCCCATGGATATCGAAACGGGTCTTTCCCAAGCCTACATACTGCTCATCTTGGTGCTCAATGTTGTAGCCTTCATTGTCATTTGTGCCTGTTACATCAAGATATACATAGCTGTCCAGAACCCGGAGCTGGTAGCTGCCAATAAAGATACCAAAGTTGCCAAGAGGATGGCCATACTCATCTTCACGGATTTCACCTGCATGGCCCCTATTTCCTTCTTTGCCATCTCCGCTGCCTTTAAGGTGCCTCTCATCACAGTGACAAACTCCAAGATCTTGTTGGTTTTATTTTACCCGGTCAACTCCTGCGCAAACCCATTTCTGTACGCGATTTTCACCAAAGCGTTTCAAAGGGACTTCTTTCTGCTGATGAGCAAGCTTGGCTGCTGTAAGAGCCGAGCGGAGCTTTACCGGATGAACTATTTCTCTGCTTACGCCTCCAACTGCAAAAATGGCAGCTCGGCCCCAGGCCCCAGCAAGGCCTCACAAGCACTGCTGCTTCTGTCAGCACTAGAGAAGCCGTACAAGACACGGCGCCCTACAAAAAAAAGTCAACCGGAGCGCCAGTAGATGCAGCACCTCACAGTGCCAGCTGTAATTATTTCAGTGACCAGGGATTATCTTACAGTATCTTAAACATCTCACAATAAATAAAAACACAAGTCAATAATTCTTATGCAACAACGCTGTTCAGAGGTTCAAAGCGGTATTTTCCCTTTTTTTCTGCTGTAATGGTAGGTACGGAAGGTGATTATTAGGTGAAACACTGCTTCAGGGCGGGCGACTGGGGGAGTCCAGTAGTCAAGGTGCTCTTGAAGTTAATGTGTACTGCAGTGACTGCAGTCTTCCTCCTTTCTTTCCAGATCTGCTTCCCTGTGGTATTTAAAGCCTGTCTGCTACCTTTTGTGTCTTCTTTTCCTACTCCTATTAGCTATGCTGGCATTGTTGGGTTAAGGAAAGGGCACTAAACTAGACGCCTCCCTTCATTTCATCAACAGAAACTTCCAATTACACAGCCACATACACCCAGTTAAGGAACAGCGTTCATCAAGCAGCGTTGTAAAGATGTCGCCAAGGAGGAGTTGACCTGCTGAACCTCTGTTACTAGCAATTTCACAGATTACATTAGATCTCAGTCAGAGCTTGTAAGTCGTTTACTTTAAAATAAAAAATAACCCATATGCAGCCATGCATGATCTGGAAATTGAAAGAGATGCAATAGCTGCAGAACACCAAGCACTGTATTTTGGATATCGCACATACACAAATATGAATCTCATAAACTGTGAAGGCCCCCTCTCAGCAGCAGGATAGCAAATAGCTGCTGCTTGTTTTCTCTCCAGGGACAATCTCGTGCATTATTTACATCTGCCCTCCCTTCAGTGTCACTGGTGCCAGTGGCATTCAGGATGCTCTGGGGACTCCTCAGCACTCACATTCCAACCCCATTCCCAGCTGATAAAGCAGAGTAGTTACTTTTCAGCGACTGTTTATCCATTGAAATGTTTTTTCATTTTCCACCACACACTGTCTGATGCTAAGGAGATCCAGATTTGTGGCTGCATTCCTAATTCAAATAAGAATCGAGCGTTCCTTTGTTACTGCAGCATTACAAAGGGGCTTAGTTATGGGCTCCAAAAGGAAAGCTCACAGTTCTGTGGACAGAAAGAGATGCAATAGCTACAGGCTGCTGCTCAAGCCTCTTCTTTGGTTACTTATTCTTGACAGATTGGATTCACTTTCTGTAATGGGAGGAGCATATTACAGTGTCAGCAAACCAATCTGGTAGCTTGAGCCCTACATACGGCAGTTTGTTTCACAGAAGGTAAAGTAAATGTGTTTTATCTGGGCTTGTGATCAAAGTTTTAGCGTCTTAGATCACATTCTGTAGATGAGACCCTCAATACCCGAAGGCAGATCCCCAGATGGTACAATATGCACCTCCCCAGCAGTCAGCAGAGAAGCGCAGCACCATAACGTCTGTGCTTACTCCAGAACAGGCCCAGTCCAACAGTTCTTGATGGCCACTGAAAGCATAGACTGTGATGTGTAAGAAAACGTGTTTGTTATGATCACTTTAAACCCCTTACATTTTCTTTCAAGTCTGTGACAAGAACAGTATGAAAATCTGTGTTCCAAAGCATACCTCTTGTTGCCACAACACAGCACTGCAAATTAAATTTGCTTCACAGCAATGACAGTGATTCTTCATGGTATTGAATGGTTTAGCACTAGCTTATAATTGTGTTAATTAGAAATAACATCTCTGACCCTCTCTTACCTTCAGCTTAATGCCATAATTTCAGTCAGTATAACAAGTCTGTGCACAGGCATAGCTGCACTCAGGAGCAGTTGACACACACAGGGAATAAAGCAGGAGAGAGAAGTGAAGGAGACTTGTCTTGAGACTTGTGTCTTGAGTGGGCATCAACTGATTTACTCACATTGCATTTCAACAGGATGAAAGCTCACTTATATACATCAAATTTTTTCAATACACTGAAACGAGCGAGTAAAAACAACGCTTTAATAAATATTTAGATTCACATACAAGTTACATGTTATTCTATCTTATTATACTTGGTAAACTTCCCTGCTTTGTAGTGTGAAGTTTTAGACTGCTATTTACTGAAGTACCTTCAATGGCCATAACTGGTATTACACACTTCATCCTATCTGCAAAGTGTTTGCTAAACTGTAAGTAGTGGCAATCAAAAGCATTAATAAGATAAATTATTAAGATGAAAAACACTCCGATCTGATTACTCCTTAAGGCATAGACTAAAGTAATTAGCCAACTGAGCTTACATTTTAACAAGGAACATTTTTTTCCTTCATTATAAGAATTCCTAACTTCTTGTATTTTTAGTTATCTGTAAATATTTCATTCAAAGCTGTATGTCTTTTCCAACGTTCATTCAAGAACACTGGAAACAAAGAGCAATTCTTACGTGGTTGGATGAAGGAAAATGGAAGCACACCCTTGTGCAGCAGTACAAGCAGCCCACACAGACAGGCCATAGCTCTGCACTGGGAAAAAACCCTACTCTAATCCGTAAAGTTCATATATTTGATAACTCAGGAAGACACTGGATGGACTCTATATTAAGGTTCCTTCGCATCAAGAATGTACAGGGTTAGAAAATGCAGCTGAATGAAAATTAATGGGATGCTCAGTGGCACATCCCCTCCCTGCAAATATTCAAAGCCAGGTTGGATGGGCTTTGAGTAACCTGATCTAGTGGAAGGTGTCCCTGCCCGTGGCCAGGGGGCAGAGTTAGATTGTTCTAATGATACCTGTGCTGCCAAGTTGAAGTTGGTACCACAGGTCATAACCTATGCATTTCTGCAGCATGAACACTTCAGAGCCTGTAAAAATGCTGAAATCTACAGGCATCTATCATGTGGGAAGAGCTACATTTCCTGCATATTCACGGGTCTGAAGTGTAGCTGGACTGATGATATAAGTCAGCTGAACAGGGAAAAAGTTATATGCCAGAACATTGAAACCATTTCTGGATACACAGCTCTTCACTTACCACCCATAACATCCATAAAAAGACAAAAGAAATGCCACACTCAGGCCTTTTAGTTCAGTGTTCCTTCTTAGAGAGTGGACAGCAGCAGGTAAGTCCAATAGAACATGCAGTAAACTCAAAACGTAGTTAAACACATACCTCCTGAAGGAATTATCTCAATGCTATCAGCACAAAGGTTTCCACCGTGATGAACAACGGTTGGTTTTCTTCCCATGTTCTCTCCAACTCTCTCCATTACTTTCCTTCTCAAGGTTTTGGCAGCCTCCCAGGGAGTAGGGAGAACCAAACCATGTCATGCGGTCTTCCTTCAGCAGATGCAGCCAGGAGAGGGGGTTGCCAGACCCCGTGAGAGGAACCTGCCTCTGTAGCAGGATGATCCTGTTCTGATTTAGCCTGGCCTTACCCTTTAACTTGTGATGTTGCCCTACAAGGAACAGGAGCTAGCTAGGAGAAAGCTACAGCTATAAAGGGCTGGGGCCTGGGCCTCAAAACATAGAACTTTTTAGATGTCTGTTTTTAGAGGAAGAAACAAGAAAAAAATGCTCAAGACTGCTGGGAATGCAATTCCCACAGCAGGGTGAGCTATTGTCACAGGCGTGACTTCTACACATTTCTGTAAGCAAAGTTACGTTTAGGGAAGACAAAAAACTCACTGCAAGAAATGTATACGAGATGACATTTTATTATTATGCACAATTTGTATCATTCACAGCCTACTGGTCTGTAGTCATAGAAGGCAGTGGATATGCACAGAACTGAAGTTAAATGACTTCACATTGACAGTGAAAATAAATCACATTCTAATGTTAAATCACACTATTCATTGCATCTCAGCAGACATAGAAGGTACAGAATAAACAATAATAGTTCTCATATATTGAGCTGAAGGGTCTTCTGCCCCCATTTTCTGACTTGCATATAAAGTGTCTGCCTTTAAGCTGAAGCCAAAAAAACAATACACACAAAAAAATCACACTTGCACAAATATAAAGCTTTTTTTTTTTGAACTCAGTCTTTGAAAACAAGTATCATCACTTGCAATTGTGTAGTTTTATATTTCAAGTCATACTTCAGCTCTTATTTAAAAAAAAAGAAATTTACTTTTAAATACAGTCATTTAGTATTCCATGACTTTCTTGAATTGCTAACCCAGTCAATGTTCTAGCCTTTACAGCTATTCACTCCAACAATGCTTCTTTAGTGGAAAAGTAATGAAATAATCAGAAAACAGCAGAGACAAATGAGCAGGTAACAATACAGTGTTTTAATTTGCATGTATTGAACACTTATTTTACATATTTTTGCAAATTCAGTCTATTTTTTAATAACAAAATAGGAAGTCCAGTTGTTTCACAGATGGTTAGTAAGGGAATAAGGCCGCAGTTCTGAAGTACATACTTCAGTGAGGTTTCACCATTCTGCATCTCCAATGGCTTTTGCAAAAACATAGTCCTTACCCTCAAAGGACATCACTCCATCTTTTAAGTAGAACTTCCATTTGTTCTTACTTCGATGTATCTGATGGAAGAAAATTAAATCAATCCCCCGTGTCCCCCCCAAAAAAAAAATTAGACCATAATAAAAAAAGAGCTTTTAAGCATAACTTGGTTTTCCTTTAAAATTCTGATAACTCAAAATACGCAAGACACTTTCTCTGAACACAGCACAAATATTCAATAGAGGCAGTGGATTTCAGTTGTATATACCAGAATCTTTGCCCTCTCAAAGGAACAACTTCCTGACTCTTACTCACCATATTCGAGTTTTCCATCTCCCTTTAAAAACACTAATTACGTAAAACATCCCTCTTACACCCTCACCCACATCCCCCGCAAGGCAAAAGTAGCTGTGTGGAACATTGTGCTGGCTGAAAAACAAGATAATAATGGAGCAATTTCATTACTGTACCACTCCCAAAATACACTGCACCCTGCAAATATGTATGGTTTAACTGAAATGCAGTTGTTTCCTTTTCCCAGATGTATGGCAAAGCAATACTGCATACACAGGCATGTAAGGATAAGGCTAAAAACATGAAAATATTGTTCAAAAGCAAATACTGCCATACAAAACAGTGAGAAAGAATGTGCACATTATTTCTTATTAAAGTCCTGCAAAACAATCTATACTACAGAAAGTTTAATACTAAAAGAAGGAATTTTAACCATCTCTAACAATTCCTTGGATTTTAAGCATCAGCCTATCTCCAGATTCAGAAAATAAGGGGAAAAGAATTTAAAAAAATAAATGAATTGTTTTGCCCTTGGCATTCTTTTATAGATAACTATATAATTTAACAGGTAACTATTTCCATCTACTTTCTACTAGACCTACTTGTCTTTATTAAATCTATATAGAAAGGGGAAGTTATCAACATTTCCCCCAACTTCTAACTGCCAATTTTTAGTGACATCTGATATTAAAATTTCCTTTAGACATGTATAGAATTGAACTTACTAGTTTTAAAAAGAATTTTTTTTCAACTCATTACAGACAAAACTCGTTATAGATAGCAACATCTACTACCTGTAGCATCCATAACATCAAACTAAGTTACAATGCTTCAAAATTTTGTGCAACTTTTCAACACAGTACACACTGTGGCTCAATTTCAGATGCATTTTCCACACACATCCCTGCAGCTACATTTTCCAAAATAACAAGCTTCAGAAACATTCAATCTGTTACACTTGAGTAAAGACAATTTTCTCAGCAGCCCACTGTTTCCTAAAGCGCAGACCCCTTTAAGGCAGACCTAGCTGAACACACAAAAAAATTATCACTAGTCTCTTCTGAAAGCATAAAAGCAAAGTCACTTTTTTTTTTTTTTTAGAAACTTAGACGTATTTTTCCACATCTGCTTCCAAAATAAGATGGGCACTTTGTTTTGTCAACTTTTAAGCTATTAACATGCAAGTGTCCAAAACATACCTAGTACTTAACTTGATCTCCAAGAATTCAAAATAAAGTTAAAATTTAAACATTAAAATAAAGCAGGACAAAACGGCCCTTAGTGACTGGCTTTTCAGGTAACAGGATTCTGGTAGTAAGTCTTCCAGAAAGCACTTCAAAGACAAAAGATAGGGAATAGGAAAAGGTGTGTGTGTGTGTACTGTTTCAAAAGTCTTAATTCATGGCCAAAGATGCACATATACATCCAAGAAGCTGTTCACATAACTTAAAAAAATTAAGGAAATGCATAAGCTTTTGCAGCTTTACAAGTCTTAATTTTGAAAGCTTTGGTCCCTTTCTCTTTATGAACACTTTAATTGTCCTCATTTCAGAAAATAACATACAGGTCTTCAGAGGACTGTCAGCTAAACACATTTAAACACTCAATTATTACAGCATTAGTTTTTCTTTAGAAGACACTGACAGCAGTCCAGATATGGATTTGCTGAAGATGCTATTTATAATGATTAAGGGACAAAGATAAAACTACTTACTGTACCTTGTCATACTGACAAACTATCACGTTATCTGTGTCAAACAAGTCTGGAACATCCTGTTCACTGACATCATCATCAGAATTTAATGGGTCCTAGAGTTTAAAAATGCATTTAAGAAGTATTTTATACATTCTTGCAAAAATAGTGTTGAATAACTTGACCTTAAACACAACCAGAACAATAAGAGGTTAACACACAAGAAATTAAGACTTAGAAAATATGGTCCACAAAGCTCACTTAGAAGCATCTTTACATGCTTATGTTCTCAAAAACATTCCCCAAAAACAAAAACAAACCACCAAAAAAGAAAAAAAAAGGTCAAAATAAAGCAGAACTGCTAAATGCCAAAGCTGACCCTAGTAACTAGAATGCTCACCAACTGTCCAGACTCCATAAGTTAATTCTCTTGTGAGCATCAAGGACACAAAATTTCATGTTTTAAATTTTTTAAAAAAAAAAAAAAAAAAGAAAGAAAAAAAAGAAGTGCTACACTTCCACCGTGCTGTTCTCTGTCTAATCCCCTGAGGTTCTTCAGAAGGAATAGTACAACTTGATTTGTATCAGGATCTTACTTAAAAGAACTCAATTCCACTGAGGTCAGGGTTTCACCACAGAACTTTAATGCTGGTGATTAAGTATTTTAAGTGATCCAATAAACAAATGATCTCATTCATTTGTTCATGCTCCTCATAATGAGCCCTCTAATAATTCCTCAGTGGCATCTCCTCTTGAGAGAGATATGTAACCTAACTACGCTCTCAGCATTAAACTTAGCAGGGGCTGTTCTGGGTCCAACAATTCAGTATTCAGGGTAGATAACATTATTGTAACGTGCTTCACAAGGTTTGAAAGTAAATTACCTCCTCAACAATATCTATTTGGGGCTCTTCATTATCACAGCTACTGCTGCTAGAATCCATGTTTGAAATACTGTCACCTTCTTCATCCTCTCCTTCATCCTCATCCTCCAGAACTTTTAGATCCTCTGATTCAATAATACCAATGAATTCACTCTCGTCTGTGTCTTTTGTGTGTGACATTTCTTCCTTGGGAGAAGCATCACCGGTTCCGTCTAGCTGAATTATGCCTTCGATGTCACTGCAGATACCCTTCTCTGATCGTAAATTAGATTCCACCTGCTCAGTAGGTTCCAGCTGACAACAATAAAAAAGACCAGAGATGGCTTGTGAAGTAACCCCACATAGCTTTCATTGTTCAGTACAAAGCCTGAGATTTTTGTTTAATAAAGCAACAAGATTCATGGCACTTCAGTGGGAGTTTCAAATCCTGGACTACTTGTAAACCCTGAGTATGTTTGAAAAATCTTGTTCTTACACCTACCTTAAATGGAATCCACGTCAAATATTCATTCCCTCAGTAATACAGAAATACATTCTCTTACACTTCTCTTTAAACACTATTGTACTTGACTTCTTTAGAAAAAGATGTTCAAACTGGCCTCTAGAATTTCTATTTTAAAGAAAATTCCAATAACTTGAAAACTATTTCTTATTTTTGAAGTAAAAACAAGATGAATCCATTTATTTCCCTCAAATCGAAGTGTTCTGTTTAAATACCATATAAAAAATGAGAATAAATACCTCACTACTTCAAGGTACCGTTCATAAAAGCACCAGAATTCCAAAACAGAGAGATGACAGGAACATGAAAGAGCCCTAAGCTTTCAGTGATCTTAGGTTTCTCATTAAATCTTTATTGGAGCGCTACATTCACATCCACATACACTTTCTAATTCAAGGAAGTTAACACTTTGTTATGATCTTCCATTCTTCCTACAGTCTACATCATCCTGCCCAAGTGTAGATGAGCAACATAAGATGCTTTCTATTTACAGTCATTTTCCATTACTGTTATTAAATTTGTATTTACTAAATTTGCCTCGATATCATATAAGCACTACAATTCAAAGGCAGCACACCAGCCTCAAGTTGTATTTGCAAATGATTTCTGGAACATAGATTTGATGAAGTCAGAGCGGAGGCTTGATCAATAAAATCATTTTTAAGTTTTCCACAAACCTCTATCTGAATTCTCGCTTGTCAGGACTTTCTTCCCAAGGAAATGTATTTCTTACCAGCAGATTTTCACTTATGGAATCTGACTTTTCATACTCAGTATGGGCTCTCAATATAAGTTAATTGCTCTTCACATGTTATGAGTTAAAATTAATCCCTGTTGACAATCCATAAGCAATTTTACAACTGGCCAGTATCCACACGCAGATTCAGCATCAAAATGACATGGTAGTTCTCAAAGCATCATTCATGCTTGCTCAGAGGCAGAAACCAATTATCTCAAAAAATAGCCTATAAATCTGTGAACGCACTATATCTATCCCACACACCTACAGTGTTTTTCAGATTGACGTTGTATTCAATCCAAATATTTCAACAACACTTGCAACCAAAACTTTAAATACAAAAAATAAGCAGTCAGCTAATTGCTCTTCAAAACAAGCTCAAGAGTGAACTTTAAAATGAGGATTTTTATCATCATTCATAGGTACTACTTACAGACATCTTTGATCATGTCTCTTACAAAACCTGTTCTTCAAACAACCATCTACAACAGCTGTATTTTCACCGGATGAGAAATGAAAAAGGTCCTACCTTGTCCGTGGGAGCAACAGTGTCCTCATCTTTCAAAACAGTGTTATCATCCAAACTTTTGCCCATCATGATCATCTCAATGATATCATCAGACACCTGCTGTTGTAGTGATTCCTGAGGCTCAGTTTCTAACTGCCCCTCCACATCCAGCAGCAAACTGCTAGAGTTGTTTGCCTCAACAAAGTCAGAAGGAGAAAACACTTCAGAGGATTCTGAATTAAACACAGGTGTATGAAGGCTGCCATGCTGGGATTTCTCTGTAGACTCCGCATGCTGATTCTGCACTGCATTGGGTGCAATTTGCTGCTGGCTCTCTGTAGGCTGCTGAACCAACACAGTACTAGTAGAGTTCTCCAAGTGTTTATTTTCTGTGGCACTTGGTTGAACTGCCACAGTCTGTTGGACAGCAGTCTTCTGAGTTTGCAACACATCTGCAGTTGCCTGGACAGAAGGTACGTTCACTGGTGCAACACTGGCCCCACTGGTGTGCAGAATTGAACGCTGTCCAACCGACTGAAATATTTGCTGAATAGGAAGTTGCAGAATATTCGCTTCTCGGCCCTGTGTAACCATAACAGGAACGTTTACCTTATAAAGCTGCCCTACAAAGAGAAGGATGAAAAGCTGCTTCAGCTACAGATCCATCTAGGCCAGCGTCCCATTATCAGTAACAGCCAAGAGGAAATAATCAGGCAAACTACAAAGAAAAAGGATGTGTACAAAGGAGTACTTTCCCCAAGCACACTTTCAGACATTTAGGAGTAAAAAAAAAACTTGCTTTAAATTTGTTAACGTGTCATTTCAGAAACAAAGGAGTACAAGATGAAACAGTAAACTGTTGCCCATCTCCATGGACAGATCATTATTTTAAGGGCATCCCCACTAAAATACCGATACAGTCCTAAACGTAAGACTCATAGTTTATCTGTCTTCTCCTTGCATAAAGAGGACTCCAAATACTGAATCCTTAATTATCATCATCAGTATTAGAATTAAGATGCCAGAGCTAGTTTGCCAAATTAATTTTTCTTTTCTCCACACATTTGCTTACACATACAGTCATTGGTATCAGCCTACAGCATTCAAAACCTTAGAAGCTATACCTGAAACAGACATATAGGACATTACTGCTTAAAAAAGAACAGCTGTTTAAGGAGAAAATCAATCTATGACTGAAGTAAGCCATCCATTCATCAAACTCCAACCAATACAAGCAAGTTTTTGTACCACCAATTTCATCAGCAAAAAAGGGTGAGCAAAAAGGATGATGGGTGGTTACATTTTATTCATATATAAAATAAATTAGATTCTGAAGCACCAGAATGTCTTTGTCAGTTTAACACATGAAAGACTACCCCTCATACAAGGCAAGGGGATATGTATGCCTGGAAACACATTTGCCAGCAGCTGTAAAACAAAAAAATGGCATCACCTAGCAGCCCACATTAACTAATGCTGCGAGTATACACAAGTGACACACCAACTAATCAATGTAATTACTTCCTCCATGCAGTAATTACACACTAAAAAGGAAGAGGATAAGTGGCTCCACCCACCTATACTTCACATTTGTTTTATCTACTGCGCTTAGAACCATCTTTCAATATTCACATACAGTCAATGAATGCCCTGTAACGTTTTACGTCTCCTCTTTAATCTTACCAGATGTAGTCTGTAGTGTCATTCCAGCTGGTACGTGTATAGGATAAGCAATACCCGAAGGGAGAGCAAGAGTCGCACCTGGTCGTGAAGCACCCTAGATACACAAGAACTTTGTTAAGTAGCAGTGCATACCTTATTCTATCAGGGCCCTAAATGTCACATTTAACACACCCTGAAAGAGGCCCCTTTGCAATCATCTCTACTGAAGAGTTGCTTTAGACTTTTTATACATAGGCAGATAAAGAGTATTTTGTAATTGCAAGCACAATGATTGGCCTCAAGTGCTTTATGTTTTCCAGCCATCACATCCTCTTTTTCATTAAGAACTTTCCTGTAGCCCCTCAAAGAACACACCATCCAAAACGATACTCTTCCACTCAAAACCACTTTTACCTAAGCTTATGCATTAAGTACAGACTCCTTGCCTACGAAGACACTTCACATCATTCTCTTTTTCTCCCAGAAAGAAAACCATTGAATATAAGATGCCCTTTCAAACTAGCTGTTCCTAGGAAACCCAAATTTAAAGTCAGGGAACTTGCATGTTACACAGATACCTTCCCAATATTATATTTCAGCTTGGCAAGGTAGTTGGCTGGAGGCTCAGGAGGCACTCAACAAGTTCATCAGGCTCTTACAGTACATCCTTCTCCCCCACACCCAACTACACTATGCCAACAGTTCAGAACCTATCACTCCAAAAACACTCACTTTCATCTGGATGATTTCTATGCTTCACAGATAACACTGCTTCCAACTTCATTAGTGCTGGCATTTCCCAACCACACATTATTTTAACATCCAGTAATAAAAATAAAAAAAAGTTATAAAAATGATGTCTACATGTACATTTCCACTTCTTCCAACCTCTGGGCTAAGTTCATCCAGCCACATTTTCCAACACTCTTCTGCCTGCACTGCTTGCGAAACCAACTTTTTTTTTTTCCTCCACTGCTCACACAGCAGCAGAGTTTGAGCACTCCTTCTGCAGACTCTTACCTTTTGTATGGTTTTCATCAAAGAAAAAAAAACAAAAAAACAATCAAGCACACTGAGTTTCCTCAGCTGTGGATATTCCCTCAGCAGACTCCTGGTCCCCTGCCTACTATACCATGTTCTACAGATATAATTGTCATGAGAAATGCTATCTTTTTCAGTCACTAAATGTTGTTCTAAAGCACCCATACACCAAAAAGAAAAAAAATAAATACAGAAAATAAACCCTTAATATGTGCATCCATCCCCTCAAGCCTGTGAAAAACTGACAAACTTAATCATTTTAAAATTCAGAATAATCAAAATAAGAATTCGCTGCAGCTACCTACCAGGCCTGCTGCCGTGAAATGCTGTAAACCTCTGCCAGCTGGGATGACTAAGGAAGCAATTTAAAAAAAATTACAAAAACATGCGCATCTCAGAAACAGTTGATCATTCAGTAATTCACAGCATGCAGTCCTGAAACTAAAGCAATCTTAACTTCAGCTCAGACTCATTAGATCAACAATAAGTAAGCACACCCAGATAAGGCTACTGAATATACTTCCTTTCAAGTTGCTTCAAAGCTTATGCTGTACTCAGGGCAGGGGTTATACCCTGAATTTATAAAACTCGCATTCTGTTAAAAGTTGGTCTTGGAGTTTTTGTTGTTTAAAATATTAAGCAGATCAAATAGATAAATAAGTAGTACTGTAAAATCTAAGCACACCATTTCTATTTATTAATATGACTACAAACACACGTTGATAAGGCAGTGCATTTTACAAGAGGAAGATGTTTAAGTGGTTTCCCACTCTAGCACAAATCCAATGGTGATAATAGCAGGAAATGTAGGATGGGTTTTCAAAAGCATTACATACTTCATTGAGGGAAGACAAACCAAAGAGAAAGCTTCTGCAAGCTTCAAGACAGGAAGAATTTAGGTAGCCCTAACACTACTTCAAAAACCTAGACCATAGGACAATTCAAATCCTATTAGAAACAAAAATAAGAAGTCAGGTGGCTTTAACAGAGTCTGATGTGCCTTAGCATCAGCTGCCCTTCCAAACGTTAGGAATAACAAGGGAAATAAAGTTCATTAAATATAAAGCTTCCAATAGCAAACAAGCCCCAGAATAAATCTCCTTTAATTGCACAGAATAAATAAAGTATCTGTCTTCCAAAAACAGTCCAAATATGAAGACTGTAAAAATAGTAAGTAGATGAAAAGTACCTGTCCAACCTTGAAATGTTCTCCATGGGCACTGTGACACAGATTTTCATTAAATCATCACATAACATTATTTTTTTTTCTTCATGGGGAAGTTCCTTATGTGCTTCACACTCAGAGAAGCCTCAGCTGAGCGTTATGTTCTATCATAACGTTAGCACAGTGGTCAGCTGGACTCAACTGAGAAGAGTATGTCCTGATGTATGAGCCTGTATGAAAGTCAAATATTTCTGCACACTGTGAATACTGCTTTTAGGAGTACTGAAAGACAGACCGAAAAATCTTCCCAACACTCACACTCTTCTGTTTGAGCAAGGGCTTGAATTTTAAGAAAAGCTGAACCAGGTTCACCTCCACCATGACAGCAGAGCTCCAAAGCTCAAACACGTCATGTAACCCTCAGCACACATCATGCCATGTGCGTGAAGTGAAAACTTAACACTTTTGATGAATTTGCAACTGAAGGGTTACTCTTCTGGACTACAGACAAGACTAAAATTCTCTTCATGTTTTCCTGCTGGAAATAAATGGCAGATCAAATGCATTTAGACATACCTGCATTAGTTTATCATAGTTTAATTTGTCCTTTACTGGTCAAATTTTGCTTTCAGATACGTACTGTTCCCCATCATGCTAGATATATACACATGCATTGCAAACCAAGATCATTCCAGCAACTTCAGGTCTTCCAAAACTTTCTTGAAACACTGAGCTATTCTTAAACTGCATTTGCAACATCTGACCTGATGAAGCCTGCAAAACACGATGAAAAGTGTGTGGCAACTGCAAGGTGAACTGTGAAGAATGCTGGCTATGTCTGAAGAAGCCTTCTGTTGCTTTAGACTGCATCACCTTGGTTTCCCAAAGCTGCAGAGAGAATATTAAGGTCAGCAGACATCAACTTTAAAAATCAAACCACATATAACATGATAATCAAGTATTCCTAGCTCATCCACAGGTAAATTGGTTCTATCCAATAAGCATGGCTACACTCACTACAAGACATCCAGCAGCCAATACAAAACTCACAGAATACTTGTAATTCTAAATTAGGGCTAAAGTTTACATGTTTTAGATGGCCAAGAAACAGACAAGTATGTTATCTCCAAAGATAAATATGTATGCATACACATTTTATTAATGCAATGGAAACCAACAAACCTGCTTCAAGTCTTTCAAAACCTGTTCATCTACACCCTCTTCAGTAAAGAGTTCCCGAACACCTTCAATCACATCTTCAATAATGGACTTGTAGAGTTTAAGCTATATGTAAATTTAGAAAATTAAACATTTTCAAGTTAAGATGAATATTAAGGCATTTTAAACGATAACATACAAGTCTAATGTGGCTGCATAAACTACTATTACAAACTGAACAACGCAGACCAAGCTGTGTAATACACTAAATACTATCAAATGCAAAGGTCTGCAAGTCTACCAGATACACAAGTCCAGTCATTCCCTTAAATCTGTAGAACTAATAAGACATTCCTGGAAAAAAATACTGGATTTAAGCCTCAAATTAATGGCTTCTGTGGGCTACAGAAATGCTTAAGAAATCCTAGAAATGTTAGAAAAAGCAATTGCCGTGGTGTATTTTGAAACCTAGTATGTTTGGAGTGCCAGTTTAAAATAGACATTTACTGCTCAGTATCATTCTAGAACCCAGCATCATAGCCTCTATCTTGAGGAGCAACTAATAGTACAAGCTACAAAAAATGAGATGTGCCAGTTTTATCAGAAGCATAACATAAGCAACCTGAAAAAAAAAAAAAAAATCCCTTTGTGACAATAGTCTGATGCTGTATAGTAGTTTAGCTGTGGAAATTGTAATCCTACATAATATATGCATGTATATCACTCATCTTATATTACAACAGGACTCTAACACAACATTTTATTAGTTCATCCATGTAAGTGGATCCTAGTTCTCCACTCAGATCCAGGCAACAGATACAACCCCACACCAGCTTCAAGATTTACCCACTCATATCAAAAAGGAGGATAACAAGCGTTTAGCAATATAAGGCTTACTAACCATGACTATCATCACCACCAGAACAGCCTACTAATAAAAGGTGAAAGCTGAAGTTTATTAGGAAACCTTGGAAGCTAGGACACCAGGATTTTAACTTCCATTTTTCTAATTTAACAACAAATAAACGTTTTACTGCTGTACAGTTGTTCTACACTGCAGGCAATAACCATCCTTTTCAAAGTTATTAAGTAGTAGCACATTATGCTTTTTGTGAAAAGCAATCAGCACAATTTTAGCTACTCTAAAATGACCTTAAGTTTGACTTCTCATGGGAGCTTAGAGATCTCCAGGAGCTTCCCCTGCCCACTTCAGGGCTCATGAACAGGGGGAAAAAAGGAGATTTGTCCCACTACAAAAAGATGCTGACTAGCCTGTATGTCAAAGGCTTGGCCTTCACTGTAAATGCAAAAGAGCAGAACTTAAACCACTTTGCTTTCAACAGGCCTATTCCTCTCCTCAAGATGCCCAAGGAGCTTTGCATTAAGCACATCCATATAGCAAGGACAAGCATTCATTACACTATATACTCTAGTTAAAAACTCTACAAAACCACTGTAAAATCCAAATTAGCAAAGAACAGAGACAGAAGCACGGGCCCCGGGGGCAGCCTCTCCTCTCCCCCGGCCGGGAGCAGCCATTGCCCCGGCCCCTGCCCAGCCTCGTCCCGTTCCCCTGCTCGGAGCCGGCCCCGGCCCCCGCCGCGAGCCCTCACCACGGGGCTGCCGTGAGCCATGGCGGCAGATGCCCGCGGCCCGCCCGCACGCCTTAAGGCGCCGTTGCCATGGCGGCACAGCCCGGGGGCGGCGGGCCCGGGCCGGAGGCGGGCCGCGGGGTTGGGGGCCTTGGGGTAAAATTGCAGCTCTGGGAGGCTGTGCCACATGATGGTCGTCTATCAGGCCTCTTGGAAGGGTGGGTGCGGAGGGTTCTGTGGGTTGATGTTGACTCATTATGACTCATGGAATCATTAAGGTTGGAAGAGACCTACAAGATACCTGGTCCAGCCATCATCATCCTACTACCAATATCACCCATTAAACCATGTCTGTAGGCACCGTGTCCAACCTTTCCTTAAACACTCCCAGGGACGGTGACACCACCACCTCCCTGGGCAACCTGTTCCAATGCCTGACTGCGCTTTCTGAGAAGAAATGTCTCCTAATTTCCAACCTGAACCTTCTCTGGTGCAACTTGAGGCCATTCCCTCTAGTCCTATCACTGGTTATCTGTGAGAAGAGGCTGAGCCCCAGCTCCCCACAGCTTCCTTTCAGGTAGTTGCAGAGAGCAATGAGGTCTCCCCTGAGCCTCTTCTCCAGACCAAACACACCCAGCTCCCTCAGCCGCTCCTCACAGGCCTTGTGCTCCAGACCCTTCACCAGCTTTGTAGCCCTTCTCTGGACACACTCCTGGGCCTCGATGCCCTTCTTGTAGTGAGGGGCCCAAAGCTGAACATAGTACTCAAGGTGTAGCCTCACCAGAGTAGAATACAAGGGTTGCTTCACTTACCTAAAAAAAAAAAAATTAAATAAAAATAAATAAATAAATAAATTGTGTTTTGCTAATGTGTTGAGAAGGAAAAATAAATGAATCCCTGATACAATTATTAATACAGAGGAAAAGTCAAGAGTCAAACTTTTTTTTTTTTTTAATTGAAGATGAAGTTGTTGGAAGGTTATCGTGCTATGGAACCTGTGAAAAATCATTTGGAAAATTTTAAACCTCTTGTTTCTATCCCATTTAAAACTGGTCTCCTTACACTTGACCTTGTACTGCCAGTGTAACTCCCAGCCCACTGCATTGCCCAGCCATAGGGCCTCAGCAGGGCCTTGTGAATGACAAACATTCACCTGGAAGCACAGCACAAGTCCAAATGGGCCACAAACCCGTCAAAAAACAGTGACCTTGATGATCCAGGCAGGCAGGTTAATTCCCCCTGAAACATACATAACACTTTTGGATTATTTTTTTGAAATAATTAGTAAGTTTCCACAAAATTCTTCAACTGGAAATTTCCCTTTTTCAGAAAGTACAGATCCTGTGGGCAATATTCAGATTGTATAATATTGGTGGTCTCTGAGTAATGTGCAACTAAGAGCTCTAAAGGAACTATATGTCTGGTAGGAACTTGGTGATCTCAAGAGAAAAGGTGATGTGGACCAATAGCTAAAGCACCAACACAAAAGCACCCAAGAGCCTAAGGCTTTTGTGTAAACCCTCTTTGGTGGCCTAAAGCAGGTCACCTTGCTGCTCTGTCTCCATTTCCTTGCCTGCAAAAAGTGATGCTATTGTAAGATTGCTCCATAGCCTGATGAAACATGTTATAGAAAAGCTACAAACTTATTATTCAGAGCACAAACCGGAAAAGAAAATGTATTAAAAACTCCATGATTGCCCCTGCTCCCATTGTGCTCCTTTTTTCCTCCTTGTGCCTGAAACGCACCGTGAATGGCCACACTGGGACACAGCTGAGTATTGGTTACAAAACCCAGGTTTCTTCTTTCAGTTCCAGAGGACGAAGAGGGATCATCCCCTGTGCAAAGCACAGGGCAACTGAGGCACCCAGTTTGGACCCTGAGCACTAGCACAACCTGAAAGCAGCCTGAAACCTCAGGTTTTGTACATGGAGGAAAAGTGACTTTGTCCTGCGAACAGAAAGGAAGGGAACTACAGTTGCCCCTGTAATGCAAAAATATACCTAGGAAAGCTGCTTGGAAAAGCATATTACCTTGCTGTAAAACTGGGAAGTCATTCTTACCTCATAAACAGGGAGATAGCTGAAGCTTCCAGTTAAGTAGCAGCAATCTGGTACAACTACACAAATTATTGCTTACATTTGCAGCAATCTGCTCATATGTTAATACAGAGATTTACCAATTTAGCAGTTACTCATCTGGAAAAATGTTCTTTATTATCATATATGTAGGAGAATATATATTCTGGCCTTTATATGCCTTCCATCTATACATCAGTGTTCTCCTGATTCTGAGAACCTAGAAGTATCTTTCTTTCTTTTTCCTTTTTCTATTTTTAGGTTGCTATGTAGATACAGTGCTGTCTGACTTGTGAAGAGAAGACTTACCCTTTAAGCATTAGATTTTAAGGCTAGCTTACACAACCAGAAGAATGAAAAGATTTTAATGAAAATACTGACAGACCCTTAATTTTATAGCTAGACTAACACCTACAACTACAGGGGAAAAAAAAAAAAAAAAAAAAAAAAAAAAGCAACATCCATAATCATATTGTAAGTTGTATTTTTACAAGTGAGACAAAGAACAAATGCAATTTGCTATTGAAGTAATTTTGCTCAGCAACAAAAATATTTAATGACACTGTCTAGATCATGAATTAAGTGACAATTACATATTCATCTGTTCTGTGTGCCCTGCATCACCACAAGAAAAAGGCAAGCCATGCTGCTTTGCTCACAGAGTAATTTAAATAACAGTATGTGTTTTTAAAGTGCATCATTCATCTGAAACTATCTGGGATAGTGCATAACAGGATATTCATCTGATCAGTCCTGTCGTGTTTAAAGAAATAGCAGGGAGAACTTGCAGCCTTTAGGATCTCACTGGGCACTGCAGGTTGCAGATGGTGATCCTGCAGCTGGCTGCAACTTATTCATGAGACAGATAAATCTGATACATAGCCATCTATCTGCCAGCATACTGTCCAGCAATTTTTGGAAAGGTAGAAAAATGCAAAAAAAAACATACATAAATGAGTTTCCTGCTATCTATGACCCCTCATTTATCAGGGAGTAACAAAGTTCCTTGACATTGGAACAATTTGTACAGCTAACTTCAAAAAGAGAGGGAGTTTGTGGAGCTTGATACCAAAGGACTTCTCAGCTATCTCAGATAGAGGTCAGGTTACTTTGGGTATATCAGCATGGACATTTACAGCAAATGAGCTTCATCCTGCACTTCAGTTTGACTGTGTCTCTGTATTTGTATGTACCCAAGACATCCCACCAGTGCAAGGCACCGTGGCCATACCCTGTGTGTTGTAAATCGTAACCTTAATATTGTTGCTGAATACCAAAGCACAACTATCGTTTAGGAGAAAGTAAAAACCGGAGATGGGAATACAGCTTTCCAAGATGCACAGGAAGGTTGCACTTTTGCTAACCAAGGCACTTAGGCTTTTATCTGAGGTCTGGCAGCAACTTTATATAATTTCTTTTAGAAATTACTAAAGAAGGTGTCTTTTCACTCAGTATGTCAATTGAACAAGCATAAAAAAGCCTGGTTACTTACATCTTGAAATTAAATTTCCTCTGAAAAACAAAAAATATAAAAAATCTGTTAATAGCAATACTTAATACCTTTGACGTTGGTGATCTTAACATAGGATCAGTGTCCTGCAATATAAAGTGCAAACCTATCGTGATTTTCATGCTTACAGATTTTGTTAGCATTTAACCGCACTTTTAAGAGAAGAAACACGCTGTCTTCATGAAGCTCGCAAATGGCAGTCAGGAACAGCATCCAGGTTCCATCCGTCTCACTTCAGCTTCTAATCTAGGTCTCCCCATTGCAGTTTCTTTAACAGCTCACAAATGTTTTAGAAGTCAGGCTATCAAAAACATTAGTATGCTGTTCAGACGCTCTTGATTTTTCAGGGTTTTGTCAGCATTTGGGGTAGTGCTGCTTAAGGGCACCTCAAGCATTCATTTACTGGACAGGTTTTAATTTGTAATTATTTATACTCCTCTTGGTACATGATGTCTGGAGAAGATTTATTTTCGGATGATGAACCTTTATTAATCATTTAAAAAAAAATACAACTTTAAAATGCATTACCTCTAGAAACACTCCTCAGCAAACTCAGATGCTTGGTAGTGAATGCCCTCTCCTGTTAAAATCTAGTATTGCTGCTGTAGAGGAACATAACCACAGGTCTATACAATTCTTTCTTAAGGCATTATTTTACAACTACCATCTTGCCCTTCTTTCCAAGTAAATTTAATCACTCTTAGAAGGAAGTGGTTGCAGTCCCCATGCAAATGCCTCAACATGGTCAGACCTGTAATTTCATTTAAAAGCTATTCCCTGTAACACACTGCCTTTGTGTTCAGCTGTTGATTCTTATATATATGGCACTGTGGTATCATAACCAGTTTTATAAACAGAGTGATTTAGTTATAAGCTCCATAATTTCTTTTGGAGTTCTCAGACAGATAACACTGAGACATGTTCAACAAATGGACCTCTCCCATTTATCACATGGGACTCTTGTTTCCTCATATGCCTCTCCTTTTTACCTGATTTAAGCCACTTCATCAGAGGAATTGTAGAAAAAGCTCTCCCTTAGTTCAATTTAATGACAAACTTTCATAACACAGGGGAGCTTAACAAGGGCTCTGACCTGTACAAACTGCTGGATAAAAAAGGCACCACCAATGGATTGAATACACTGAATAGTTCTGTACAGCTCTGCTCCTTGATATGCCCAGAGATTTTTGTAGCATGATTAAGCCTAATTTAGGATGAAATAAACCTTGCCTCTCCTAAATATTCAATCTCTTTCCTCTGTCCCCAAATCAAAGCTCCAGTCCTGCTCCTGGGCTCCCCAGCTCCACTCTCCTTTGCCTTAGAGATGAGCAGGATGGAGGCACTACCTACACACGCGCTCAGAACCACACGGAGTCGGGGGCAGTGGGAGGCTGTAGGTGGAGGTGCCTGGAACATTATTTCTCCTTATCTGAATCGGCTGCTGGGAGTTT